TCGTTTCGTGCTTTGTGCTGCCGATCTGCAAACGATGTTTCAGTGTAATTAATTAACACTGTCGAATTTGATTATCGTCAAAAATTTTTCGAGAGATATTTATCAACCTTCTGCCAAGCCTTCTTCGATTCTTCCTTCATTTCAACGATATATTCTGTTATCGGTGTTCCGCCATCGTTCTCCGGAGGCTGCCATTTTATCGTGAAGGATGTCTTCGTCATTCCTGATACTTCCAGTGGTCCTCTTGGTGGTCCAGGTGGCTCTGTAAAATTATATCAATTAGAGTAACTTGAGAAAGCTCGGAAGATTGGAAAGAAATATCATGTTAAGAATGCGGTCGATTACTGTCGGTCTTTAAAGTACCTTTAATTATATTACTTGATGCCGAAGGATGTGAAAGTGAATAACTCTGATTTGATTTGGTCTAATGATGGATTTATTACTCAAGAAGCCTGATTGTTTCTACTTGATTACTCGATTTATTCGCTTAGCTGAATATTGACTGACTGAAAATGACTCTGAATGACTAACTGATTTGACTGACTGATTACTAACTTGACTGAGTATGAATCCCTGACTGCACTGACTGTTTACGAGCGGAGTATGACTGACTGAACTGAGTGACTATTTGAACTAGAAAATTAATCACTGAACACTGCCCTTTAAGGAGTTATGGAGCAGGTCAGAGAAGCATGTCAAGAAATATGCTTTAACAATCATATTCTATTCTGATAAATTTAATAAAATTATTGAAAAATCAAGGAGAAAATTAATACTCTGTTCAGTAATGTAGAAAACGTAAAAATCTAACTTACCGAAGGAAGTTCTCATCTTGACTGTGTCTGATTCCAATGGTTCTGATGCTCCAACAGCGTTTCTGGCGATGATCCTGAACTTGTATTCGGCATTCTGTTGCAATTTGTGTATGCAGAAGCTTTCCACTTCTTTGTCGATATCGACTACTTTCACCCAAATCTTGCTCGGTTCGTACTTCTCGATCGTGTATTTTTCCAATTCGATTCCACCGTCGTCTTCCGGTGGCCGCCATTCAATGGTGACGCGATCTTGCCTGATCTCCTTGAAGATAACTGGTCCTTGCGGCTTGCTTGGTTTATCTGCAATATTCGAAACGAAATAACACGAAAATTATAAATCGGCTGGAAAAGTCAAAATCCATGATAAGTGGATTCTTTAAAAAAGAAAAATTATAAATTAATAAATGGTTCTCAATCCATTTAGAATGTTACAAGATTGAGGATTTCTATGCGTTCGTAGAAAATTCAAACGTGTACAATGATACGGGCGTAATGCACAAAAATATATAAAATATCCAAAGCAAACTGATCACTATACTTGGAGCAAGTGAAACAATTTTCTACAAAAATATAAATTTGCATAGATATCCACGATCGAATCACAATATATAAATAATATATATAAATATTTTTTTTATTCGTGGCGTGATAATATTAACAAATTAATAATTGTCGATATTGTTTAATACCTATAACTCTGAGATGTAAGTCAACCGAAGAGCTGCCTGCTTGATTCGCTGCCTTAGCTGTATAAGTAGCAGTGTCTTCTCTAACGAGCGAAGAAATAGAAATCGTAGAGGTCTTCTCTTTCGTTTCAATGGATACACGTTTGTCGACTATCTTCTTGTTGTTCTTCGACCATGTCACTTCCGGTTTCGGGAAGCCGCTCGTCTGAATCTCGATCTTCCATTGGCTATTCACTGGAAGATTCTGATTTGCCAGAGTTTCGTCGTAGGTGATCTTAGGCGCCTCTTGCACCTTTAATTCGCACGTTGTTTCCGCTGTTCCTCTTTCGTTCTTTGCCTTCACTGTGAACGTCGCCGATGACGTTTCCGTTGTCTGCGTGATGGTGTATTTCGCCACGCGATTTTCGTACGTGATGCTGCTGTCCTCGAAAGTTCCGCCATTTCTCAACCTGAGATCAGATATCAAGTTAATCAAAATCCTTAAAGTACTTTCTACTTATTAATTTAATTCCCGATATTTCACTAGAATTTCTTTTAACAAGAAATTTTAGAGAACACTTCAATTTGAATTAAAAGAAAATCACACTGAGAATTTTTCGTTTAGTTAATTTAAACTAAAATAAAATTACATTGTTAATTCAATAAGCAAGTTTATTCAAGAAGAATTGTTATTTTAGCAGAAATTATTAATTTAAAGTTAAAAAGATTATATTCAAAATTCATTTCAAAGAAATTCATTTTAAACGTTCACGAAAGAGTCTTTGACAAAATTCGATGAAATTCACTCGATTTCGATAAGAAAAATTCGTACCAAGTAATGTCCGGCGTCGGTGTTCCTCCAATGACGCAAGATAGAGTGACGATTTCTCCAAGACCAATGATGACACTCTTCAGAGGTTCTAAGACAACAGGTGGTTCTGCAGCCGATGGTTTTGTTATCTTTATGTATGGAGAAGTTGGTGACGTTTCGCCTGGTCCAGCTTCGTTTGCAGCTGTTACTCGGAAGGTGTACTCTTTGTTCGTAGTTAATTTCCTTACTTTATGTGTTGTTTCTATTATCGTTTCTGTAACCTTGGTCCATCTTTAAACCAAATTAAAAAAGAAAAGCATTTTTACAACTTGTAGTCACTATTTTGTTCCAAAGCATTAATCGAAGTTTATTACAATTACTATTACAACATCAAGTTATATATACGTCTTTCTGTCTCCTTGTTAATTAAATATTATTTAAATAGTTTATTCAGAGGTCAATCCTAGATTTCTGTATTTAAATATTTTATTCATGTTTTCGTAAAGATAATTAGTACTCACGTAGTTTCAGTCTTTTCTTGATACTCCAGAATGTACTCAACGATAGGCGAGTTTCCATCTGAATCTGGCTTTTTCCAATGAAGCGTAACACTGTCCTCGGTTACTTCCAATGGTTCTGGTGCTCCGGGTGCGCTTGGTACCTCTGTAAATATAGAACAAAATTTTTCAATGAAAATACAATATTCTTCAGTATACGTTCAAAATAGAGAAAATGAATATTTTAGAAATTATACTCACGGACGATAACGACGTTGATCTCGATAGTAGCTTCTCCCACGTTGTTCACCAGTTTCAGATTGTAATCACCAACGTCTTCCTCTTGAATCTTTTTGATAGTTAATACCGCGGATTCTTCATCGATCGACGATACAACTCGTTTCGATTTTGTAATCACATTTCCATTCACGGTCCATTCGTCGCTCGGCTTTGGTGTCGCGTTAAATTTCACGACTATTTCGACGTCCTCGCCCTTTCTTACTTTGTACTTCTTAGGCGTGTCTGGACTAATCTTTGGTGCCGTTTCGATGACTAAATATTAAAAGAGATATATATTTAATACAATTAAATTCTATAAAATATTTTAATTTAGAAATAAACGAAACATATTTAATCTTTTATATTTGATTGTAATCGTTTGTGTTTGTAAATATTACCTTCGACTCTTAATCTCGACGAAGTTTTTACATTCGTCACTGTGGCTGAATATTCCGAGATATCCTTAGTGGTACATTTCTTCACGATCAGTTTCTTCACGGTGCCCTCGTCGATGATGCTATACTTCGATGATTCCTCGATGACCTCCGTTTTCCTGCAATATTGTTACATTACATTTTATCTCTCTCAAGTCCGTACAAATTGTTCAGCACAAAATTTTCTCTAATTAATTTTATCTATCTATCGCCTTTTTTTTCTTTTTTTTTTCGATTTTACCTCATCCATACAACTGGAACATCGCGTGATATTTCAATAATGAAAACGGCATCGGAATTCAATGGCACAAGAGTGACGTCTGGTAATCTAGTGACAAAGTCCACGCCAGGTTCTTCCACGGTCAATTTAGCCGACGATTTTTGTTCACCGACTTCGCAGGAATAAACACCGGCGTCTTCCGGCTCCGTATCGTAGATCTTCAGCCTCTGCCTCTTGCCATCGATCGACAACCGGATGTGTTCCGAAAATTGTAACTCTTGTCCATCTTTGAACCATCGGATCAACGCGTCTCCTTTCGTTAGTTCTATTTCGAACGTTGCTCTCTCGCCTCTTGCTATTGTCACGTCTTGCATCTTTGTAATGATTTCCGGTGGTAGTTCTGGAATAATTGTGAAGAAGTTAGCAAACAATAATGTTTAATGATACAAATAGTTCAGTTTACGATACAGATGTTAAATCTACGACTAATTAGATCTAGATTGATAGATGTATATAGTGGATTTAATGATAAGTAGATTGTGGATTTTTGTGCAGATTCATGTTTCTTTTTAGAATGTAATTAAAAATATAGAACCTAGATAGAAAATTATTTTTAGTTAGGAAGCACTACGTCTTTAAAATTTTCTATAAATGCATGAAAAATCCGTGAGTTCAGTGATAAATATAATACTTACCGATGACAGTGACTTCCGCTGTGCATTTCTGATCTATAAGGCTGCACGTGTATTCACCTTCGTCGTGGACGGATGTACTTCTAACGAGTAATTTTCTAACGGTTCCATCTTTAACAAATTCCAATTTCTCTTTACTCGGTCCCAAAGGTTCGCCATCCTTGAACCATTTAACATCCGCTGTCTGAGAAGTAATTTCAACTTCGAGAATGGCGACGTCACGCTCCTTTACTTCGCAATCTTGTAACTTTTTCACGAACTCTGGTTTGGTGGCTGTGGCATTAAATTTGAATTACACGAACGTTATAATTTTTCTCCAACAACGCTGTACATTAAATATTTTTCTTTAACTTCTAACTGATATCGTTGAATAGTAGAAATCACAAAAATTTGCTTAATTATTGAATTTTCTATTCGATTTCATTTTATTACTAGAGAAACTGTAAAACACCTAAAGCTTTTGTAATTTTCAAGGTTCAGACTCAATAATAATTTTATTCTTTTAATAATCGTTATAAAATTAATGGTGATATTTTTCTCCAGTGCTTGTTGTAAATTTAAACATTAGCTGCAATATTTTCCATCGGTAATTATCGTAAATTTAAACGATTAAGTGATTCTTACCTCTTACAGTGACTTTGCTCGATGTCGATTGATTTTTCACAGTGCACTCGTAAGTCCCTTCGTCCGTGGGACTGGTTTTCTTGATCACTAACTTGTGCACCCGTCCTTCGTGAATGATCTCGCGATGATCCATGCCACTGATCTCCTTGTCGTTGTGCCACCATTTCGTCGAGACCGTGTGCGATGTCTCGCAGGTCAATTCCAAAGTCTTGTACTCATCGACGATGACTTCCTTCTCCAGAGTCTTCGTGAATGTTACTTTCTCGACGTCCACCGTGACTTTGGCACCGTGCGACGCTTTTCCAACTGGATTACTCGCGATGCATTTGTAATCGCCCGCGTCTACCTCCGAATCCGCGTTTCTGATCTCCAACACGATGTTCTCGCCATCATAGGTTTCCGTGATATTCGGTGATTTCTCCAAGGGTTTGTTGTTTCTATTGAGAAACGAAACGTTTTTTACACGTGTGTTACATATTTCAGAGACAACAGAATTAATTAAAATTTAAAATTTGTGCCAAAAAAATTAAAATGGATATATATGTATATATGAAAAGAAAATAATGCGAAAATTTCAACAAAATTACTCATTTTATTGTTTTAAATATATATAATTTTCACTAAGGTTACTTGCCATTATCGTAAATATATTTCAAATAAAATTACTTTAACTATTCTGGTTTGGGTCCTGGGTTTAATAATCTTGATATGAATTAAATAATAAAAAAATCTTACTACGACAAATAATAAAAATTTACAAAAATAATAAAGTATACCTTAACCACGTGACTTCTGGAACAGGGTTTCCAGTAACCTTCGCCACCAATTTAAAGGTGCCTTTCTGTGGAACAGTGAGTTCTTGGAACCGTTCCGTAAAGAGTGGCGGTTCTGGAGCCCCGCTGGGTATTTCTACGAGAATACGAAATTGTGTATCATTTCCTACAATTACTTAAACAAATCTCTCACTCAAATACACGTATTAAAATACACAATAAATCAATGCAAGCAGAAGCATATCCTACCCTTCGACACACTGTAGTGTTCGTATGCGTGTTGCTCGAACTTAATGGTCAGCGAAGGCTTCAAGTTTACTGAAAAACGACGTAGCGAAGCATTTTACAGCATTAATATTCAAGCGTGATGTGATTTAATTAATCTATATTTAATGCCGACAGCGGTATTTAGAACATTGGTCTTATTATCTATTGAATTCATTTCACGATACAGATGGTATCGTTTGTAATTATTTGAAAAATATATTCTTTGCACTTTACTTCACTTCTGTTGCAAGACTTAAATAACTTGCCAACGTTATAACGCATATATATAATCCTCATTCTTTTGTTTGTATTATTAATTAGAAATTAATACAGTATATAATGATAAATTGTAATATACTACTAGCGTTGTATAGTATTCATATAAATTTATCTAAATAATTATGTGCAATTAATTAGAATATAATTATAATATAACACGACGATGAATATGAGAAGCGAATGAGCAAGAAGCTTTTATTGCAAGAAGTTAATAGTCTGCACCAAAATATGATTACGTTTCACGATGTTCTTACTTTCAACTGTCAATGTGGCTTTCGTTTCGGCTGTGCCAAGATCGTTGGTAGCTATCACAGAATATTCCCCAGTGTCAGATACTTGAGGTTGAATCAGTGTGAGCGTATTCACGTGACCCTCTTGTTTCGGAGTCAAGCCTTTCAATGGTTTGCCATTCTTGTACCAAGTTACTTTGGGAGCTGGGTTCCCGACGATTTGAGTCGACAATACCACGGTTTCTCCTTCTCGTACCACGTACGACTGTAATGGCTCTAGAATTTCCGGCGGTTCGTGTTTGCCAGTCTTCACCTGCGTGGATAAGTTTAAATGTGAATTCACATAAAAATTGTTGGGAACAATATTTTTATCGAATGGCACACCATTCTTCGTTAAATCAGAGAAGAATCGATTCTGTAGAATATTTATTTCGTAAGCGATTATAATTCAGTATTTTTTTCATATTTTTTTTTTTTCAAGAAAAAAATTACAGTATTTTGAATGATCATTATTCAGTTTGTGGAATATTGATTTTTATACTCTGTTCAAGAATACTAAAGACGAGGATTAAACTACGGAAGAAATAAAATTGCGTAACAAATAGATATTTATGGCAATTTTTCTTTCCTACGTATAGTAGAATTAATTCTCGTATTAATAGTTCTGATTATATAATAATATTATCGAGTTAATAAACTTCAGAATTAGTAAATTCCTATTATCAAATAATAATAGTAATTATTATAGAATTATTATTACTACATTGTTATTACGTACGAACCTTCATAGGAATCTCTATAGTAGCTTCACCTTCCCTGTTTCTAGCAACGATAGTGTACTTTCCTTCCTGCTTCTTCTGCACTTTAGTGATCTTAATTACGCTGCAGTACATGTGCATATCGCTCTCAGTGACAACCTCGATGTTCTCTTTGGTTGTAATCTGCGTATCCTTGTAGTACCATGTTATCTCTGGTTCTGGTACTGCCACCAATCGACACTCCAATATCACATCTTCACCCTCGTTGACGTATTTCGCCTTTGGTTTCCGTGAGAACGTTGGCGGTATTCCTTCCAGGATGTCGGCGAGAGACGATTCTCTGTAGAAATATTTTACAGTTACATAAAAACATTTGAGCTTTAATTAAAAGACCTTTTGAGCATTTATATATCCGATTATAAATAATATCGAAATTACAGAAATATGGATGAATAATCGCGGTGATCAACAAAAATGAAATCGACAACCGAATTTAAATAACTTATTAATTAGGATATTATATTATATTAATAACAGTAATAGCACTTTATATTTAAAATTTTGGAAATTTAAAGAATTTTTAGGAAACTTTAATAAATTTGAGAATGCGAAAAAAAGCGTACCTTGAGAGACTCTTTCTGGATGGACCAGTCAAGTCCGATCCATGATCAGAAAGAGGCGCTTCCACGATTAATTCCGTAGTGCTGGAAGCGAAACCAGCAGCATTCTTGGCGACGCAGGTAAAGGTGCCAGCATCTTCAGGGAACACTTCCCTTATGATCAAAGTTGCTACGTTGTCGTCGTCGTAGTACATTTGGAAATCAGGTGATGGTTTGATGATGGCTGTCTGTCGGAACCAAGTTATCTGTGGCCTTGGTAAACCTTCCACTTGACACTCGAATTGAATCGTGTAACCATCCGGTGTGTGAATCGGCTGCAACTTTTCGACGAACCTCGGTGCTGATGTTTTCTCACCGGGCGCTGGCTCTGTGATTTCGAAAGTTATTATATTTTTGCTTTGTTAGAATCTATTAAATAAAATTAACTGTTCGGTAAAAAATTGCCGAATAAAGAATATATATATATATATTATAAATGTTTTATATTTTTATATTATAATGTTAAGTTTATGAACAAACTTACTTTCAAATATTGGCAACTTGTCGATTTTCTCGTGCAATTTGCGCTGCAGGTATAGGGTATAGTGTATTTCGTTGAGAAGATATTGCGCTGGAACCCAGCCCTTCTCTTCTGTCAAGTGTTTCTTTACGAACCACCAATCTGGATTTGCATGGTCTTGGAAAAGATATAAAGCGTTAACCCGCTTATTCTGATATATACGCAACATGACGATTTATACGTAAGATATAAAACTTACCGATGACGTAAACTCTTTCTCCTTCGACGAGGTTGATAGCTTCGTCAGTTTCTGCCACGTATGAACAAATCGAGAACATTGTGTCGCCATCGCGGACAGCGTACTCGATTTCTTCTGAAAATTCAATTCAACCAAAATGTATTGTATTATTCTTGTCAAAGTTTAAACACGATTTTCATTCGAATACGAACGTACCTTCTTCAGAAATCTCTTCTTCCCTGGTGATACTAAGCGAGGCCTCTTCTGTAACGTGTCAAACAAAGTATTATAACAAAAGCAAGCGAAATTAGGCATACAAGCCGACATCTATCAATACGATCAACTATCGATGCCCAAAATCGAAGCGTCTGTATATTCCGTTATTTTTTTACAATATTGTTATAGTTATCTCTATCTCGATAAATATCGCCAGCAGAAATTAGTTACATAGCGTTCTACATTTCCGTTGAAGTACACTACAAGAAGTACCGATATGCTTTTCATTCGCAGTGGATTAAGAAGCGGAGGATTCTAGGCGAGGCTTTATTTAGGAGGCAGAGGGATATTAGGGGCAAGCATACTCACTAAATACACCTTACAGTCTGACGAAGCGCGTTAATACTAGCTGAAAGCATGTTACATCAGATTAAACGATTATCTGCGAAATCGGCAGTCGAAAGATCTTCTCGAACCTTCTTCGAACGTGGAAATTGATTTCCTGCTCTTCAACTTCAGCGCCAACGATTCGTCAGCTTCCTCCACAGAGTATTTCCTCTCGCGTTTCAGTTTCAATTTCACGTCACCTTCCTCGATATCTTCCACCTTGTACGGCTTCGGCTCTTTTTTCTTTCTTCTCCTCAGTGGCAGCCGCATCTCGTCAGTTTCTAACTCTTCTACGCTGTACTCGTCTCTAGCCTCCTCGTCTGATTCTATGATCTCTTCTATGATTGGCCCAGAGTCATCCTCGACTTCTTGCATGATGCGAATAGTTTCTTCTCCAGTCTCTTCAGAGTACGTCATCGGTCGTTTCTTCGACTTCAGTTTGACTTTACCGGACATAGAAATGTCCTCTTCTTCGTACGTGTTCAAAGAAATCTTGAATTCTTGTTCCACGTCTTCCTTGGTCTTCGTAGAGCGTGGTCTGAACGTTACGTTCTCTACTTCCGTCACCTCTTTGATGTCTGGCCTTGGTTTCTTCTTCGGGCGTAACTTTCGAAGAGTGACATCCTCGTAAATTTCCTCGATAGGCTTCGGAGGCAGCTTCGGAGGTTTCCTCTTCACCGTGAATTCTTGGACTTCTTCCTCTTCTTCCGGTTGTTCCACTTCCTCGATCTTCTTAATCGTTAATTCCTCAGCTGCCTCTTCCACGACTTTACGCTCCGGTTTCTTCTTTTTTATTTGCACCTCGGATGATACTTCTTCCTCTTCTTTAGGTTCTTCAGGAGCGCGAACTTTCTTTATGGTCACCGCAGCCTCTTCGATCTCTTCCGTGACCGGCGTTGGTTTCTTTTCTGGCTTCTTTTTCTTCTTGATGGTAAATTCTTCGGGAGCTTCCTCGGCTTCTGTGGGAACTAATTTCTTGATGGTCACCTCGGCAGCTTCTTCTTCGACTACCGGCTTCTTTTTCTTTGGTTTCTTCACCTCTACTTTCTCGCTTACTTCCTCTGGCGCCTTTTCTTCCTCTTTTGGTACTGGTTTCTTCAATGTCACCTCTTCAGACACTTCTTCTGGGACCGGTTTCTCCTTCGGTTTCTTCTTCTTTAAAGTTACTTCCTCTACGATCTCTTCCTCTTCTTTCTCCACAGGAACTGGTTTCTTGATAGTGACCTCATCAGCGGCTTCTTCCACCACTGACTTCTTCTTCTTTGGTTTCTTTACCTCCACTTTCTCTGTCACTTCTTCCGGAACTTTTTCTTCATCCTTTGGAACTGGTTTTAGAGTAACTTCTTCAGTCACTTCCTCAGGAACAGGTTTCTCCTTTGGTTTCTTTTTCTTTAGTGTCACTTCTTCTACAATTTCCTCCTCTTCCTTTTCTACAGGAATTGGTTTTTTAATAGTAATTTCCTCGGCAGCCTCTTCCACTACAGGTTTCTTCTTCTTTGGTTTCTTTATCTCTACCTTTTCTGTTACTTCCTC